TTTGCATTTCTTCTCACCTTGAATAAAGCTTACCGGCTGCTCATGCAGGCATGCAAATATATAGTATACGGAACAATTACATCTTGACTTTGCATTCTTCAACTCTGTACTCGCAAGCATTGGGTCATTTATTTTTTCAGACTCCTGGTGACGAGCAAGCGTCTTAGAATCAAATGTGAAAATATAACCATTCTTTTTTGTTCAGGCAGAGGAATGATTAATCTGTATAGTAAAAGGGTGGGAATATCTATGGTTTGTTCTTGGGGATGGGAGGCCAGTGGGTCAGTGAGTGGGTGGGGCGGGCGGCGGCGGGCCCGGGCCAGGTCCAGTCCAGTCAAGGCCAGCCTAATAAAAAAGTTTACTCCAGTAAAACGATGATTAAAACCGCGGAGACGGGGCGCGGGTGGGCGGGCGACAGCTAGTGTGAACGGAAGGGGCCCCGCGCCCGTCGTCTCAGCGCAGAGAGCGGCGTGTGAATGGGCGGAAAAGTAAGAAACGTCAGGCAGCGGCTGCAACTGCAGCGGCATCCACCGGCGAGGGCGAGAAGAAAACGAAGCGAAAAGCGGGGCCAGGCCACGGGCCGGACGCCAGAGGAAGGTCGCGTGGCAGCGCACGCCACCCAAATCCAAGCCAGGCCAGAAAGCGAGCGCCGACCGCCGCGTCAGCCCGCGCGTGCCGTCGTCGTTGCTAGGCCGCGGCGGGAGAGGGCGGCGGGAGGGATGATGGAGGCGGGGGGAGGGGGAGGAGGGTTCAGGGACGAGCGGGTGCCGCAGTGGGGCGTGCAGGAGACGCGGGAGCTCATCGCGGCGCGCGGGGACCTGGAGCGGGAGGCCGCCGCGGGGCGCAGCGCCAAGACGCTCTGGGAGGCGGTGGCGGACGCGCTCCGGGCGCGCGGGTACCGCCGCACCGCCGATCAGTGCAAGTGCAAGTGGAAGAACCTCGTCAACAGATACAAGGTACGTATAGTGTACGCCCTTCCTGCCGCAGCTCCCTAGCACTCCTCCGCCTCTCTAATGGCGTAATGATATAGGAGTAATTGTCTGGTGTCTCCAATTCTTCATGCTGCTAGGCCAGCCTTTGTGTTCTCAATCCTCCGAGCAACGATTTCTCATGTAATGTTCTTACTTGGCAACCTGCGACACATTTTGTGGGTGCTTTGGGTCCCCAAATAGTCTCTTTCTATTTCAAGAGCTCCTTTTGGCTTTGGGATTGGTAGAAGAAGTTCCCTTTGCTGCTTATAAATGACTAACATCTCAATCAAAGGGAGGAATCTCTGCTCCTGTTGAATTAGTTGTTTATCCCTTCTAATTTTGGAATGGAAGTTGAATTCTTTTTTTCCCTTCTAATTATGGAATGGAAGCTGAATACTTTTTGGCCCTAGGCAACCTGAAATGACTAATGAATGTCTAGCATTGTTGGACAGGTGATGTGTTGAATTGCACACCTTTAATTTCCTGCCGGGGTAATCCCCTTTTCGAAAAGAAAAAAAAACACCTTCAATTTCCCAGATAGCTGATGGATACCCGGAGTTTAAAATCCATGTCGGCCTAATGCAGTTGGCTGTAATGCTAAATTACAAGGCATTTTGTTTTTCCGTCTTCTTCTTATATATATGCCCTAGGACTGGGAGTGAGGGCTTTTCTGAGTATAGTTGTGCCTAATTGGTATGCGAAAAAGTGTGGTATTCAGTTTTCCTTTTTAGCATTTCACTTTGTTCATTGTTGTATTTTGGGGTAAAGCTAATCCAATTCCGTATGGGGCTAGGGTAACCCAAGGAATCAGAAATAATAATGAATAATTGCTCCTGATAAAAAGGGGGTAACATGTCAGCTCAGGTGAATATTGTCAGATTGGTAAGTGTAAAGGAAAAGCCAGGGTGGAATCTTCTTTGCTTTAAGGGAAACTTCAGTGACAAACTATCCAGAATGGAGGTTGCAAGTTTTTTCAGAAAAAGATGGAGTACTATTTCTGTGTGTGGCATCTGTCTGTTAAACTAATTTTATTGCTTATTTTGAACAGGCCTAGTTTAGAGAACGGACGTTTGGCTCCCGGGAGCCATGGAGGCCTTTTTTTGAAAACAAATCAAAATTCAAACTTTTCGGTTTCAAAAAAATCTGAAAAAAATTGTGCAAGTAAACAAGTATGTTATGCCTATGTGTGTAAAATTTCAGAATGAAAAACGTTGAAATGTGACCTATACAAAAAAGACAAATTCCTGGTCCGGGAGGATGAATAGTGTCATGTGTTAAAAAGCCTCAGATTTGTCTTTTTTGCACAGCCCTCATTTCAACTTATTTTGCCCTGAAAATTTACACACGTGTGTGTTAGGCCTTCATATATATGTGTGTTTTTTTTCAGATTTTTTTGAAATGTAGAAAATATGAAATTCAACAAAATTCAAATTTTTCAAAACCGAGCTCCATGGAGCTCGGCCTCCAAAGACAATATCCGCCTAGTTTACTGCTATAAAGTTTTAAAGTGGAGCATAGAAATTTTGACATTTTGAGCCCCTTTAAAATGTGACAATTTCTATCCGCTTTAAAACTTTATAGCAGTAAACTAGTGCTGTTCAAAATAAGCAATAAAATTAGGATAACAAAAAGTAGGGGCATCTCAGGCAAAAGGAGTATGAAGTTGAACACTCCGGAGGAAAAATGGATGGCATTTCGGATGGTTTAATTAGGTTTATTGAGAAAGAACTAGGGAAAATGTTGAAATTTCAGGGGATAGACATGTACTACATTTTCTTCAGAGGAGGTTTGAAATTTGCATGTTTGATTTAGAATGACACTGATTTGGGGTTTGTTGGGTGTTGGAACCAATTTCAAGCTTTCAGGTAAAAATGTTCCATTAGGATGTTCCTACAATGTGTCACCTAATTTCTTTCGGTATTATCTTGTCGTGACGACATTCCACTGCACCCCTCTTGTTTGGACACCTTTGCTATTATAAGTTTGCTGTGTGATTGCAACTAAGATTTATAGTACCTTCATTGTTTAGTTTATGGGGCGATAACTCTTTTTTTTTTCATCAGGGGAAAGAAACATCTGATCCAGAAACCGGCAGACAATGTCCCTTCTTTGAAGAATTACATGCAGTCTTCACTGAACGTGCTAAAAATATGCAACGTCAACTCCTTCAGTCTGAATCGGGAACTTCAGTTAAAAAGAAATTAAAGCGACCTAGCGGTGACCAGTCATCTGGGGAGTCTGATGAGAACGAATATGGCGTTGAAGTCAGCGATGATGAGAAACCCGTGATAAGCAAAAAGCGGAAGGCTGGTGATAAGGGGCAACCATCGCAACGAATGGCGGAAAACTCAAGGGCCGGCAGTTCAAGCATCCATGATCTGTTGCAGGAATTCCTAGTGCAGCAACAGCATGTCGATATGCTGTGGCATGAGACGATGGAGCGGCGCGCCCAGGAGCGGCTCATTTTCGAACAAGAATGGAGGCAGTCGATGCAGAAGCTTGAGCAGGAGAGGCTGATGCTGGAGCAGTCATGGATAGAGCGAGAGGAACAGCGAAGGATGAGGGAAGAAGCAAGGGCTCAGAAGAGGGATTCGCTCATGACCACCCTGCTGAACAAACTCTTACAAGAAGATCTATAGAAGACGAAGCTTCTTTGTCAATGGGTAGATAATGTACTAGACCTCATTTTTCTTACCATGTTTCATCGATTCTTTTTAGCTATTGCAACATGCTGTTGTCCAGAAGAAGATGTTTGATGTAGCTTATTAACTTTATAGTGCTCATTTCCAATTCTTTACCGGGGTTATATTTATATACTAATTTATTAGAGATGTAAGTATCAGATGCCAGATAGGTGATCTACTGATCTATGTGATTTCCGGAGACATTAGGCTTTCAGGCATCAGTCGTCTTGCGCGAATATCATGTGCTCTAGCATTTTCACGGCATTGTTCCATATGTTGTGAACTTGTAATGTAGACTGGATTTATGTTCTGCTACAATGGTGAATTTGTGATGCATGTGCCATGTAAACCGATTGGAATTTGTTTGCTTTGAGCCCACAAGAGACCTTGCCTGATAGAACTAATGCCCAAAACCAGGGCACTGTCAAGATTGTGGCGAAAAAAGTGGCATTTAAAAAGTTAAATTCATTGGTCTGGGCACTCCCTTTCAGCAGACTTATCCCAGCTTTTTTGTGAGCTAGATGTGACTGTTGAAACACATTACTTTCTTTTCATTCTTTTCTTCAGATTTAAACATGAATTTCAAATGAAGGATGGTTCAGTTAGGGCCTCCTCTTGATGTAGAATTTTGTAGGAATGTAATCTTTTAAGAAACTTTCCAATGAGAGCCGTTCAATCGCATCGTGGTTGTCAAATTCCCATATAATATGTTCCTTTGATTTCGATTTCCGTATTTACCTAGATCCTCTTTTTTTTTTTGCGGGGGACCTAGATCCTCTTTGACTTAAAGATCATCACAATGCTCTGAAAGAAAGCAAATGAATCAAGTGGCACGTCCGTTCGAATCCATTACGATTAGAAAACCTAATACATTCGAAAACAAATGAATTGTAGCAAGAAAATCGAGTGCGAAGGAATTTCTTTCTTAGAGAAAATTCTTGAGGATTCAAATCCTGTCAATCAGACGGCCTATGTTCATTTTTTTTCTATCTAAGGTTCAAAATCCCCAAATAATCTGATAAAATTCCTTGGAAGCAAAGGAGCCATTATTTCCTTCCTTTTTGAGAAGTGTAATACTCCTACTCTCTTTCTCTCTCTTCCCCCTAATTTCTCCAAATTTTTTTGCTCATTTTCTGTTAAAAATATTCAAAAGCATTCGTGCACAAAATCGTGTGTGCTGACCCAGAAGTTTGGCTGGGTTCCAAACGGGTTGTGGACACAAGTTTGGTTCCTGTCAGGGTTGCAGTGCTGGTCTTTTCCCTTGACACGTTCCAGTAGGGCACTGGATAAGCCGCGGAGGTCGGAGGTCGGAGGCGGAGGCCAATAGGCGGCAGCCTGACCGGCGATGGAGGGGAAGCCGCTGCATCTCCTCCTCCCCCACCCTCGCCTCCCACCCCCAGCCCCCCTCCCTACCCACCGCTTCCCGGAGCCCCGCCTCCGCCTCTCCCTCCACCACCGCAACCCGAAGGCGAGGCAGCTCGCCTTCTCCTCCCGGCCGCCCAACGGCCAATCGGCCACGCCCGCCCGCGGAGGATGGGAGTGGGCGCGGGGCGCCTCCGCGACGGCGGCGCTGGCGCTGGCGCTCCACCTGGCCGCCTGCTCCCTCCTCATCCTCTTCCCCGCCCCGGCGGCACGCGCGTGCGCCCAGCCGCCCCCTCCACCCGCCGCCGTGGAGGCGAACGAGCAGGAGCAGGGCGACGAGGAGTGGGAGGCCGCGCTGCAGCAGTGGAAGTCCAAGGCCTACGCGCTCTCCGTGCCCCTGCGCGTCGTCGCGCTCCGCGGCTCCTTCCCTCCCGCGTGGATCAAGGTCCGCTCCTTCTCCCTCCCCTGCACTTTACACCATTTGCTTTGACTACTGGGCGATTATAAGTTGGACCACGAGATATGAAAGATAGGATGGAACGATGAGTTTTTTCAGATTGTAAGATAATTTTGATTTGTTGTTTGTAGGATTTCGTCGAAGCACAGGGGAAGAGACTCAAATTCAGCCCTGAGTTCCGCCCTAGTATTGACGCGCTTTTCTCTGAGTTGTCAAAATGTGTGGACAAAGGTCAGGTTCAGCCCAAATCCGCGATGGCGGCTGATGTCGTTTCTATAGGGGACTCTTGGCTCGGCTACGCCATTCGTAAGGGACTGGTAGAACCTATCAGCAATGCTGAAGAGCAGGACTGGTATCGGAGCCTGAGTGACAGATGGAAGGTGAGAATTGACAGTTGAAGCATTCTTCCTCTCTTACCAATTCTGATAGTTGCACTGGTCCCTGCTGTTAATGTTGTGTTGCCTTGTATCCTTTGATAACGAATGCGGATGGCTGAAGAAGTGTTGTTTAATTTGTGTAGATGCAAAAACTTATAAGAAAGATATTCTATCATGTGAATCGCAATGACATCTAGGTTTCTAGCACAATCTCCATAACTAGAATAACATCTCCCATGCTCATTATTTGCTTCAGTCAAACTCATTTTCTTTCAGAAAATATCATATTTGTGAAGCATAACTTAAATGTACTCCCGGAAATGAATTAGTTAATTCTAGTGAAGATGTCCCGAGGTGTAGTTTCCATTTTCATTATAGTCTATCAGGTTCATTTGTGCAGGAACCAGAATGGAGAGGCAGATTCTAATGGCTCAGTATGGGGTGTTCCATATAGATGGGGCACTGTGGTCATTGCGTACAAGAAAAGCAAGTTTAAGCAGCATAACTTGAAGCCAATACAGGTAAGCAAAATCTTCAGAGAACATGCAGCATTGGGTTTAAGATACAATGTCAACTATACAGTGATTAACTTATCCTTAAAAGCTTACCTTGGAGTTAAATAAAAGATGTAGCATAGTACTGAAACAAACATTTTGCTAGTACTGGTCGAGGTTGACTATTTTGCTATTTATAACATCTTTGTGAGTAAAGACATATATAGATGATGACATTGTGCACACAGACATCAACGTTGCAACTACTCATATAGATGTATTATCTGTAGGATTGGGAGGATTTGTGGAGGCCTGAACTAGCCGGGAAGATTTCAATGATTGATTCTCCTAGAGAAGTAATTGGTGCAGTCCTTAAGCAGTTGGGATCATCATATAACACGATTGACATGGAAACAGAAGTTGATGGTGGTAGGGAAGCAGTCCTAAGCAGCTTTACACAGCTACAAAAACAGGTTTGTACCAACTAACACATCTTCTCTGTATGTTTCTTACTTTCCATCTACTTTGTTCGATCTGGCAAGAGAAGTGAGGACCCAAAATAATTTTGTGGAAAAGACAAAATGAGCCTTTAATATAACGAATAGCAATTAGTGTTTAATTTTGGTATCCTTCTGTAGGTCCAGCTATTTGACAGCATGAACTATCTGAAATCGTTTGGAGTTGGGGATGTTTGGGTCACAGTGGGTTGGAGCAGCGATGTCATCCCTGCTGCAAAGCGAATGTCCAATGTTGCTGTTGTTGTTCCCAAGTCAGGCAGTAGCCTCTGGGCTGATTTATGGGTATGTTTGATTTGCCCACGCTTAATTTCATTACATTGTGACTGTCAATCGGATGAGTTATGTCGCTGTTGTTGTTTCTTCATTCCAACAGCGAGCCTACTGTCTTATTGGTTGCATTGGTTTTATGCACTACAGGCGATACCTTGTGCTACAAGGTTTCAGACTGATAAAATCGGGGGCAGAACTAGAGGCCCATCTCCACTCATCCACCAGTGGTTCGACTTCTGTCTGCAGAGTGCCAGAAGCTTGCCCTTTCGCCAGGAAATCACCGCAGGAGCATCGCCGCTGTTCCTCGAAAACCCAGCTCCAGAGGTTCTGCAAGATCGAAACAAGAAGAAGCCAAAGCTGGAGAGTAACCTTGTCAGGGGAGTACCTCCCCCTGAAATCCTGGAAAAATGTGAGTTCTTAGAACCTCTATCAGACAAAGCGGTGGGTGACTACCAGTGGTTGATGTCGAGAGTGCAGAGACCACGCGGCGGTCTGCTTGGAAACGTGCTGCAAAGGATATCAACCGTGCTAGACTTGAAATCGAGATTTTAGAGCACACACCTATCGCCACGAAGTTCATCAGTCATAAGTATTTTTGCGAGACGACCACTAACAAACCAATAGTTCAGACCATGCATAGGATCCACTTCTTACAGCAGTACCACTTCTAAAAACCTCCCGTTGGAGATTTAATGTAATCCGACTCTGAGATTTGGACGAGAAATGCTGCGGATCATCTCGGAAACTTTCTCGGTTCGTAAAGGAACAAGGTACGACTTGTTGAGCACCACATTTATAGGTCTTGTTGCACTGCATCTGGATACTAGCATCTCTAAGAATTCCACCTGGTCATCTTCTCCCATGAACGTATTGATCTCTATCTCTTCAAGTGAATCGAGGGTCATATTGTTGGCCCTGTAACTCTCCGGCAAGCGGCATGGACAAGCCGTCGAGCATGGGTCTTTCTGAAAAAATCATGTAGATGCAATATTATTCTAGAGTAGCAATTTTTAAACAAAATACAGTGACTACATTAGGCAAAGAGCTAGAGTGCATAGTGCATTAATTATGCTACTATATGATTTTGGACCCCCGTTTGATGGCATTTTTAGATATGCCAGTTTCTTCAGAGCGGCATTACATTTTCTGGGAGGACGACATGTGTGGGATGACAGTTTCTTCAAAGCGACATGGCACGATGTGTGTGAGGTGGCAGTTTCTTTAGAGCAAAATGACATTTTCTGAAAGGACTGACACAACTAAAGCTGTCAGCAAAAACGTTCGAAATGCCACCCTCCCCGCGGACTTCAGCAGCCAGATAACATTTCCGATGATTTTTCAATGGGCTTCCAAATCATAAAGTACTACTCCTAAACATGTTTCCTTCATTTCAAAATCGTGAATATTTGAGCTACAGTCTCTGAATGAACTGACAAAATGAACCCTAGAAATTACGTACCGTCTGAGTGTATGTCTCCAGCACAAGCTTCTTTATAGCGTTGCTTCTCCTGAGGAGATGCAGCATGGTTGGAACAAAGCCGTGGTGATCCCCTGTTAGCGATACCGATAATACGGTCTGACACACGGGAAGGTTGTTTACATCATCCAAGAAGCTGGTGTATCCCTCCATTCCCTGAAAAACAATAATCGCAAGCACAAAAACGAATCATCAAAATCAAAGGACCAATTAGTAACACGGATCGCTCGAGCAAACAATCCATGGATTCACACGGAGAGAAGCCAGTTAATTGGACGTACAATGAGGGCAGACAGTCTCAGCTCGTCGACCGCATCGAACCGCCGGGCCCTCGGGGGCGCCGCCGCGTTTAGGTACAGCTGCGTGATGTCCAGCCGCCGGAGACGACGAGGCACGTCGTCGGCGAAGTGGTGCCGGTGCAGGCGCTGGACCTTGGCCTCGGCGAGCCTCGGGGCCGAGATGTGGGCGTGGTGGAGGAACGACGCGACCAGCACTTCGAGCATGGGGGCGGCGACCCCGAGCCGCTGGGCGCACCCGGCCCCGAACTCTAGGCGCCTGAGAGAGGCGGAGCGGATGGAGACGTCGGAGCAGGCCACGAGGCTGACGCGCAGGGTGAGGTCCGTCAGGCGCGGGCACATGGACGACACGAACGCCCCGAGCTCCCGGCCGTCCATGGCGGCCGACTGTATCGTCAGCACGGTGAGCGCCGCGAACGAGGCCGCCGGCCGGAGCCGGAGCACGAACGCCCCCGCGAGGGAGAGCGTGATCTCCGTCGCCCTCCTGCACGGGGGCAGCTCGACCTCCTGTCCGTGGCCGTGGACGATGGGCTCGGAGCGGGGCAGGGCGAGGGACAGCGTGCCGGCGACGCGCTCCGAGGCGACGCGCAGCCACGAGGAGACGCGGCGGGCTTCGATTCGGCAGAGCCTGACGTCGGGCACGGCGATGGTGAGGGCGGCGACGTCGACGTTGGAGGCGGAGTAGGCGGCGAGGGCGCCTTCCACGGCGCGCAGGAAGGAGCTCGGCGGCCGGCCCGGCACGTGGAGCTCGTCGATGACGAGCTCGGGGATGCTGGTCCAGACGTGGCGCCAGCGGCGGGAGAGGATGGTGGTCCGCGCGGCGGCGGGGAGCGAGCGGAGGCGGAGGAGGATGTCGCGGAGGAGGTCGTCGGAGAGGCCGCTGATGCGATCGTCGCTCCCAGCCTCCTCCATGCTCGCACCCCGGAGTATGTTTTTAGATGGATGTGCGCAGAAGTTGATTAGGGATAATAATAGATTATGTGATTAAGTCATGTAAATCACATAATGTAATCCTTTTTAGTCATGGTCTTTTTCTTTCTGTAGTATATAGACTTTGTTGGCCGCAAGGTTGTTGGAAATATTAGTCATGGTCTTTTTTGGGGCCACACTATGCGTGGGCCGACCGATCTTTTAAAAATATTCGCTGCCTCGGCAACTGTCATTTGTACAGCTATCCAGCATCCAATACTATTTTCGTTATTGCAACAAGGACAACATTACAGAAATACTTTACAACAAAGGTTATGTTGCAGAAATCTTTTCCGACATAGTAGATGTTGCAGATTTTTGTCATCACTATTTTTGCAACATGGGTGTTGTTGCGGAAACCAAATTGCAACAAAGACAATGTTGCAAAAATATTTTTACTTTTGTTGTCCTCATTTCTTCGTTTTTTCGTCTTCATTTTTTCGCAACATAGGTGCTGTTGCGGAAAAGAGTTTTGCAACACACATGACGTTGTAGAAAGAGAGACGCAAAGGATACGTGTATACGTGTCACGTGGAGGCGGCGGCAGATGGCTCGCGTGCGATCCGTCGAGTGAAGGAAAGAGTTTCCTTTTTTTTTCTTCTGTAGTAGATTTTTTTTTGACATCTTCTGTAGTAGACATTGTTGGCCACCGGTGAAGGTGGCAGCAAGGTTCTCGGCCACTCCGTTGTTTGGGGCAAGGGGTATGGACTCCGAGGCAGCGCCTCAGGCAGACATGACGATGTCCACCAAACGGCGGGTGGTGTGCGCTGGTGCTGGGGGGTGAAGCGCTCGTGCCAGGGTCACCCCGGGCTATCACCCTCCCGGCTATGCGAGCGGCGATGAGTGTAGGTTGTGGTGCATAGGGTACCCCGCGTTCCTCTAGTGCTAGATCTGAAGATGACATCTTCGATGCGTGCTGCTCTCTCCACCCATCGGGCTTGGCCGGATCCAGCGGATAGCTAGGGGAATAGGGAGGTATGGATAAGGGAAATACCTGGGCCGGCGGTGGCGGCCACGACGCCGACAACGGTTTGGGCACATTTCCTACCTTGAAGGCGATGTCAAGGTAGTATCCCCCTTCTCCCTCCCGTGCACCCAGGTGCAACCCTCAATCTGGAACTAGGCGGGGAGGACGCTCAACGTCATCACCTCCTTGGAGGTATCGTTCTGGGTATGTGTGGGCATGTGGCGGTGTGTGGGCAGTTGCTTGTTCGGTGTGCTCTTGGTGGATGTGTTTTTCATTTCCAGTGGTGACGCACCTCTGTGGAGGTTTGGTTTCCTCCTCGACCCGTCGTGTTTCTTCGTGTGGTCCAGTTGTTCGACAGGTCAACGCTCTTTATACTGACCTAGAGGGGAATAGGGAACACTCTACAGTGACAACGATGCAATGTTGGTGATGAGCGATCGTGGTCTTGGCGGCTCTGACCCATCCTGATGGCTTTGTTGCTCAATTCTTCGGTCATGCCTTCTTTGGGTGATCATTCCTAAAGCTAGCATCTTCGACGTGATCTGTGATGTGGATGGTGGCATTCGTCCGTGGGTAGTTTTTTTGGTGAGGTGGTTATGTGCAGCATTTTGTTTATTTGTCAGCTAGTCCATTTGTTCGTGGGTGAGCCGCTCTTCCTTACCAATGGTGCGGCGCCCTTTGATCGAGGGTGAAAGGGCATGTGTGCCTTCTTTCAGAGGTAGATGCGAATGGAAATGTGATGTTGCATCGTAGCGTTTTGCTTCTTTGTTTGTGGTCCGTTATCTTTTCTTCAACTATCTATACTGGCGGTTGGGGTTGCATCCTCATTTTCCTTTTCTTTTTCTTCACGGTAACCTAGTTGATTGACAACTTCGTTGATTCAAAGCCGGACTCATCTTAAGCCTTTGTTCTAAAAAGCACTTTGATATGAAGCCGTCGCAATGTTTGTGAAGTATCCGATGAAGGGGGGAAATATGAATTAATAGAAAAATTGAAGCAATTGAAACGGGAACGAACAAAGCAGGTCGCCCACACACTGCGACAAGTGGCTATTCTGTTCATTCGAGGCATGACACCAGAAGCAAAGACATGAAGCAGTTCCAACATTAGTTCATAGACGGAACAATATAGTAAACTAGACTGGTACTAATATCTTATCGCATGTTTTGGCTTCAGATCAGGAGACCCCATTGTGCAGGCGATGCCGCTACTTCTTGGGAGGCAGGAGCAAGCTGGTGAGGGCGTCGCGAGTCATCATCGCAGCCCTTAGGAGCTTCAGAACCTGTCGACAAGGAGGCCAACACTCAGTCATTGTTAAAACGGTACAGAAACTGAAACAGTAAAGATGAAATGGCTAGTTTTCATGAGTGATGGTCAACTACATTTCAGGCATGGCATGTTTAACATTTGTGGGGTTAATTACCTGGGTTTTGTCCAGGGTGAGCTCTTTCTCCACAAGCTTCTCCTTGGGAATCTTAGCTGCGCGCATGACTTGCAGAGTGTTGGTCATGGTGAAATCGAGGACACGTAGGTCGCTCGTCACCAGGAACTTTCCGAGCCCTCCATGGACATATGCCTTAGCTGTGCTGTCACTTCCTATGCCTCTGAACTTCGGGTTCGATTCCACAAAAGTAATCTTATCAGGGTAAGAGCAACTGCAACCGCCTGTGTATGCAGCTTCAACTACATGACACTTGAAGCATCTGAAGGTCAGACTTCTTGGACTCATCTCTTCTATTTGTAGTACATTGCTGCTGCACCCAAAGAAGGGTGCCAACTTGGGAGATAGAAGTACCGTTTGGCATTCTTGTTTCATCCATGTTCTTGCGCTCTCGTCAATATTTCTGTAAAGACCATCGATGGACCCGTTTTGTGACCATTGACCGTATGTCTTGATTATGGATCCAAGTGGAACGCAAAGCAACCCGAAGAGAAGATCAAGAAAATCCCCTCCAACTTCGGCATACAACACCGATGCCTTGTCCTTCGTATGGACGAGCGTTATTTCGACTGCGCTGAGCATGGGCTTAGTATCATCACTGGCTTCTTTGGGAAACAGATTTTCAGGTAACTGATCCAAATATTTTGTCAGTGGGACTGAGAGGCAGACGTCAAAACATAGTGCAGTCAAGGGTTGCTTGGAGATCAGTACGTTCTTAAGCAAACGAATTATCTGCAAGAAAAATGACGGTATACCAATGAATTCTTGCATTTCGTAGAAACATAAAATGAGGAGTTTTTTTTTTCTTTTGTGGGGGATAAAAATGAGAAGGAGTTAAAGAGAAAGACTAACTTTATTAGCATTCAGTTCAAGAATTTTCTCCTCAAGCTTGGCTTGATCTTGTAGCCCAAACCTGTCGAGCAGGGAAAAGACAAGTCTTGTAGAAGCAGGAGCCACTTGGAGATCATCAGTGACGATGTACTTCGAACCATGTTTGACAAACACCCCATCCCCATAGTCTCGAACAGCAGCAAGAAGATGCGGTGGACATTTCCAGAAGCTTGACGACGAGCAGCGATGTTTGCAACCAGGTAGTACAGAGCTAAACTGCCTGTGTGTTGCGCAAGTGTAAAATCCACTTTAATTGGTATCGTCAAATTTTACCTTAAGCCGGTCCAAGTGGAATGCCGCAGCATTGACAGGACTAAGAGCATCTTCAACAGCCGCGCTAAACTAGCGCCGCGCCGCAAATTAGGCCATTTTAGCGCGCGCGCAACGCGGCGGGTCGCTCCAGCGGGCGCGCAAAAACGGCGCGCGCGCTATAACGGGTTGGACGCGCGGTTGAAAACACTTATCCGCGCGGCGTATTTTGGGCGCCAGCTACAGCGCGCGGCACACTCGAGCGCCCGCGCCGCACTCTCTCCTCTCCTTGTCCTACGCCCCGCGCGCGCCGGCGCCCTGCCACCCATCCATGGACGCGCACACCGGCGCCCCGCTCACCCTGCTGTACAGCCGCGACCCCCCCGCCGCCGCCGCCGCAGCCACCGCCGTCGCCGCCGGAAACCCTAGCGCGGGAAGCGCTGGCGTCGCCACCGCCGGAGCTCCGCCGAGCGTCGGCCTCGCGCGCAGCCTCTTCTTGTCGCCGCGGATGACCACGGCGCCGGGTGGCGTCGCGCCGGCGCCGTCCCGTGCCGCCGCCGCACCGTCGAAGAAGGTCCCCAATGCGGCGCGGACGAAGAAGGGCAAAACATCCGCGAAGAAAAACAAGGCGGAGGACGGCTCCGGCACCACGAAGGCGAGGGGAAAGAAGCTTGCAGGGCGTTCGACGGCCGCGACGGCTACCGAAACGCCGGCGAGCTCACTCGTTGAGCCGGCCGCCGACGCGCACCACGTGTTCGACGAAATGCCCCCAAGGTGAAATTTTTTCCAACTTTTCTTTTCTTCTTATTTTTTCAATGCATCATCATCACATATAGATAGCTTATTTGCATTGTTCAAAAAACTTTGTAGTCTCAACGATGATGCATACATGTCCACTATGGGTGTTGGGTCCAACAATTCGCATTGGTCTCAAACCAATGACATCCATTTCGAAGACCATGAGTTTGAGGTGGATGAGGAGGGTGAGGGAATTGTCGAGGCGCCGAAAGGAAGAGCGGGCAATTACTCAACCAACGATGACAAGTTACTAACCTCAATGCGGCGCAAAAAGAGTATGTCAATCTTGCCCAACAAGAAGTCTTGATCCAAAAAAGAGTCTTGGTTCGTGCAATGGGTGGCGGTGGCCTCGGCGTCATGGGTGGCGGTGGCCTCGGCGCCATGGGAGGCATGGGTGGCTTCGGAGCCATGGGAGGCATGGGTGCACCTCCGGCCGCCATGGGAGGCATGGGTGCACCTCCGGCCGCCATGGGAGGCATGGGTGGCTTTGGAGCACCCTCCGACGCTATGGCCGCCATGGGAGGCATGAGTTTTGCTTATCTCATGGGAGGCATGGGTGCACCTCCGGCCGCCATGGGTGCAATGTCTTTCGATGTGCCTTCTCACACACATTCCCATGAAGATGCCGTTGAAGATCATGCCAACACCGTCGGAGGTTCACATGATGCGGTGCGTGATGCGGTGCGTGATGAGGAGAGGGAGGAAGATTCATCTTCGGAGGCGGAAGAGTCGTCTTCAAAAGATGAGGACGAAGACGAAGACGAGAAAGATGAAGATTGATGTGTCTTTCATGTCTTGAACTTTAGTTTGCATTTGAATTTGGTTGGATGAACTTGTGGGCATGATTTTGAACTTGTGGGCATGAACTTTTATTCATCAACTTGTTTGTGTCAAATTTCACATGTTCATTTTTGTCCAAAATATCATATATGCAAAATGCCCGGCGAGTCGCGCGCGCTGTATTTTTGCGCTCTGCTGGAGCGGCGCGCGCGCTGCATTATAGCGCGGCTGCTGGAGCCAGCGCAGGCGGGCGCGTAGAACCAGCCGCATCGCGCGTGGTAAACAGATTTTTTGCGCAAGGCGCTTAGCGCGGCTGTTGGAGATGCTCTAAGAAGCATGGCCTTGCACTCCTTAGTTTGGAAGTGATCTACGTTGAGACTCTCCACGCTCTTGTACAGCTCATCAAGGCACGCTAAGTGAGACTGCTTGCCAAGAAGACGAACGATGGTGCCGAGAGGCAGCGTGAGGAAGCTGAAGAGGACATCGACGAACTCCTTGTCAGATTCCGCGAACAGCACCCGTTTCTTCTACGAACATCTTCACAGCTACTGTTGGTCCGCCATCGCTCGACATGGTCGATCAAAAGTATGTTTTGTGGATGTTCTAGGTTCTATCTCCTGAGCGAGATGGATCTTTAAGTATCCTCCACAGCCTCAAGGCTTGGCTGCAATAGGTGGCATTGGTAACAGCACAATTAAATGGTTGAGGGTATTTGAAGGGGCTTAATTGAAGGCTTCATGCGAAGAGTCTCTATAGTTGAGAAAGGATGATCTATCTTTGCACTTTCCAAGAGGACGATTATTTCTCATCCGAAGTTGCATGGCCTTCCCATGGATGGAAGGCGTATAGGCGGTATGGACATGTACCTAGCTTTGATCTCTGATTTAATTTAAGGGTGTGGCTAGGTCTTAGTCGATTGAGACTTAACCAAGTCTCAGTCAAGTGATATACTATATAAGAAGAAGAAAAGAAAAATTGAAAAGAAATTTTGCACGTATCTTCATGCAAAATCGAAAGAAGATAATATCTACTGAGTCATAACGAAGTCATAGTCGAACGAGACTTAGCAAAACTATTAATTTAAAGTGATGGGAGAATTTGAAGTGATCTATTCTGCAAATCCGAGGTGTGTCACTTTGTTTTTTGTAGAAAGAATTCTGTGCTTTTCATTCCCACTAGATAGTTGATGTCGCGCCTTACTACTCTCATCTATTTTTGAGATAAAACAAAAAGATTTGGACGCTGATAACCCTCGCACGTGTGGTGTGTGGTGGGAGCGACACCCGTCCACACGCCCTATAACACATAGACTACACCACGTCACCGCATGCATGCATGTGAGAATCTTTTTAGACTTTCAGTTTTTAAAATTTTTTATCTCTTTAATGAAAAATCCGATTGAAGATCCGTTTTCACCATTAAATCCATCGCGATGAGATCTTCGAAACTAGATCTTATATCAATATGTTTCGACGACTATCAAAAGTTTCCATGTCTATTGCACATGAATTGCCATGGTGTTTACACTGAAGTTGTTATGATATGTTTTAACTATTTTCTTCTACATTTAAAAGTAATTTTGACATATTATAAAACAGGGAATTAAGAAACTAGACTTGTCATGAACCATAAACTAAAATCTCCATGATACATGCACTTAAAATTGTCATGGTTCATAAAAAAATAATTTTTATGGTCGAAGTAGTGGAATTGCCATGGTCAAAATACTAAAATTGCCATGCTCTATAAACTAAAATTGCCACATGGCAACTTTAGTGTAACACTATGGCAACTATAGTGTAAACATCATGTCTACTTTTGGCAAAAAAAATCGTCAAAACATATCAACATGAGATCTAGTTTTGAAGATCTCGTCAAGACGGATTTAATAGTGAAAACGGATTTTTAACTGGATTTTTTAATTAGGAGATAAATTTTTTTAAGTCAAAATAAAAAAGATTCCTGCTGATGTCATCTGTTTTGATGTGCAAAATGAATGATACTGACGTCGGGAATGTTGCTTCGTGCCACACGTGTGTGCGTTAACATTTACGAAAGATTTTCTTAAATAAAGAGTGCAAAGATGGATATATTTATTTTGTTAAAGTTTAGACACTAAGTAGCCCACGAAGGAGAACCAACCTATGATTAGATGGTTAGAGGGACAGTGCTATCTCTAGCTCATCAGGATTCAACTCCTGGTGCTCGCATTATTCCTGGATTTATTCCTGAATTTCCGGCGACACGCTTTTTGTGGGAGGAGACATTCCCGACGACGACGAGGCGTCTACGATGACTTCGTAAATCTCAAGATGATATGCCGCCTCAATCTCTCGAATATGGTCATAGGGGTAGGATGTGCGTGTGTGCGTTCATAAGGGTGACTGTATGCGCATATGTATGAGCGCTTGTGTATGTACTGTGTTAATAAAAAGTAGTCCATGGAAAATTGTTTAACGAACGAAGATGTATGGAGCAATGGCAAGAAGCTTATATGACCTATTGTATTACACAATATCCGAGCATGATTAGCTTATCGAGACATAAAACACTGATTTAGAAACTTGTAAGCAACTTTTGGAGATCAACCTCATCGCTCTTTATCTCTATCACAAGAGCGCAAAATTTGGTGAGGTACCAATCGTGCTTGTCTTCTCTCTCCCATGGACCAACCTCTCCTGTGGAACTCCTCTCTTCCCATGATTTATCTTCCCATTTTAATTTTAGTATGATTGAACAAAGGGATAGGGCAGATGATTTTATCGATCTGCATTCACAAAGCAAGACCAACCTCCCTTATGGAACTCCTATCTTCCCATGATCCCCCCCTCTTCAATTTTAGTATAACTGAACAAAGGGATAGG